AAATGGGCTTTCTTAGACGAGTCGCTGGCCTTACGCGTCTCGAGATGGTCCGGAATAGTGACATCCGGAATAGCCTTGGATTACAGCCTTTGCTTCTCCAGATTTTTGAAGTCACAGCTGCGATGGCTTGGGCATGTATTGCGAATGCCTCCAGAAAGGAGGGCTAAGCAACTGTTGCTTGCAAATCCTACCGGCAGAAGGTCCAGGGGACGGCCAAGATTAACCTGGTGCGAACATATGAAAGAAGTCTGTTCCAGACTCCATTTGTCTTTTGCCGAAGCTCAGACTCGGGCATAAGATCGAGAACGTTGGAAGCTTTGTTTGATGCGTGTTCCTCCGCGACCCGAAAGGAGAAGCGGCCATGGAAACTGAATGAAGTGAAGCAATAGTTAATTATACCTATATCTGCGAACGCATTATGGAGAACCTAAAGAACGAACTTCTTCTGAAAGTTCGCTTGTTACGTTTTTCAAGCTAACCACATTATTAGCTGAAGGGAACAGCGATTATGAAATAGTAAAGAATAGATTTCAGCATTTTGAAAGTAGCGTTATTCATAGTGCCCATGTAGAGTCTCAAAACACCTGGCGTCTTGAAACGTAATGAAGCTCAAAAGAGCTTGCAGCAATGCCGCTTGGAAAATGTCGTCATAGTGGAATGACTCCTCCGAGTCACCAGCGAGGTGTCGACGACTGGACTGAGGAGTTCAGAGGCAGGAGATCCGCTAGTCCAACAAGAGAATGGAAGTGTCATTAAAACTGATCTCGTCTTGGAATTTTGCACCGGCCTGATATACTTTGGAAGAAGTTGCAAAACAGAACCACGTGTTCAGGCAGACTTACTGGCTGAAAGGAATGCAACCTCATTCTGCAGCAGTGAATGCAGTCTAAGCCTATGCACCATTTCTAACGGCCAGATATCATGAATCAGAATTACTGTGCTGTTTAAACCCTTTCAGCCTCAGGTAACGGTAAAAACATCAACAACCTGGTGCGACAGATCTGCTGCCGGAGCAAGGAAGTGAGGCGGTAGAGCAGGTTGATTAATTAATGTATGTTGATTCATTCAACTCAAACGATGGCACCAGCCAACCAGACTAAATAGATGGATCATCTTGCGCAGTGCTTTCTGGAACCTGTCTATCATGTGGAGTGAGAAAGAGGTAGCCCTTTTCACAAAAATTCGACTTGCAGTCTTGTCCGGTCCGTGTTACTGCACAGAATAGAGATTAGCGTCCTATGGAATGGACATGAACGATGACTGGCCTGCGTAGGGCAGCGCTGACTTGGACGCATAACAACGGTTACATCGCAGGACCCTAATGGAATAACCCCATTCTCTTCAGAAGGCAAATTATTAAATTCTCAGTAGATTCGGAGATCAAGAAAATAAGGCTGGTCTTACCGGACAAACTGGCTGACAAATGACAACGTTAGTCGGTTATTTCAGTCTTCTAGCCCCTCATGTGGGACCAGAAAGGTAGCATGAAAAGTGGATGAACAGGGTAAAGGAATTGGAATATAAATTGTTCGTTTATTGCTATTATGCAGTAGCCGTAGCTTTTTATGAATCGTGTTGATGAACTGACATCGTGGCAGACCCAAACCTGTAAAGTCATGTTTACGGCAATGATAGCAACAGCAACAAGAAACACGCCAGCACCTGAATTAGAGAAAGGAGGATTTACAGCTACCAACGAGAATAATACGCAGCTGGACCCTAGTTGAGCCAGTAAAAAACAGACTGAATGATAGAGATGGCTACAAGTACTTCTTTCCTACAAATTTATCGCATTGATAAATTGACAGCATTTCTGATTCAATGAGTTTAAAAGCAGTGGTACTCTGATCGATCAGACAAGATAAGAAAGAAAACAATTCGTTTCGGATGTTTCAGCACTTCGAAATTTGATCTCAGGGGTTAAATGACACCAAATATGAATAAAGAGGGGAAGAAACGTTGGAGTAATTGGTTTTTTCTGCGTTTCATCAGAGTATCATTACGTGCTCAAACTATTTCACCAGAACGATACTCCACTCATGAGGTGCATGTATGGATTAATGGCGAGTTTCGGAAGTCGTAATTGCATTGAATTATATTGAATGAGTCGTTGTCTTTTTTAATACGACGCCTAAAGTTTGAACAAATTATTCAAATGCATATAATTACACGACTCACAAGATCAGTTTATACGGAAATATATAATTCATATTTTGCCAACGGATTATCATTCATCAAACTCTTCTCGAAAAATTATTTCTAACTCAGTGTAAAGTAAACTTTTAATCTAAGCAGTTAATTCCCTTTGAAAGTGCCCGCAGTAGAAATTAAAACAGATGATGTGTTTTGTTGGAAAATTTCAAATGGAACAAAGCACCGACTTGAAATTAAATTCCGTAAATAATTGAGCGAAATAAATTATTAATTTTACCCAGTTTATAAATATAATGAATTAAAGAGGATAGACGAGTACCAGGCCGCTGTCCAATCCTGACGAGATCCTCAGGAACCATGCATCTCATCGGCGATGAGAAAACAGCTTTCGGCAGAAAACACCAATCTTGGTTCGACGATGCAATAAACAAAGTAGGTGAAATTGTTTCAAGCTGTACAAAAGAAAAAATATGATTAGATAAAACACAGTGGAAAATGGCATATGGTACTTTGGTTAAGCAGTAAATAAATTATCATATTTTGGCGATGATCGAAGACGTAGGTAATCGTATAGTACATTCAGTCCAGGAAGCATTGCTTGTTCAAACTAGAAACTACGTCATGGATTTGGATTGCATAGATTTTAAGCATTAAGAGAACTCATAATAAATGAGACTGAATCAGAATCAAGTTGGCAGGCACCATGCAAGTTAGCATCAGGTGTAAAATACTGCTAACTTGGATCTCTGTTGAACCAATAAAGGGCTACATCTGTAAATAACGACTAACTGAGGAAAACAGTTTTGTTGGAAGGCCGGTATAACCCTGACTCGTGATTCCATTCAGCTTGGTGCAATGCATTGCAGATCCAATTAAAGTTTCAGTTAAAACAGCAGCGTTAGTGAGTTTCGAACTTACAGTTACGACGTCCAGCCAGTAATACGTTCAAATTTATTGCCATATTAGATGTTGAGGTTCTTGTTATTACTGTAACATTCATTGTTTTGGTGATTTGTTCAAAGTCGATGAACAACTTTGATTTGTCAGTTCGAAGATGATTTTTATGTGGACGAAGCATGGACAGCAAATTAAAAGCGGTATTTTAGTTTCGGCCTTTGCCATGTACCCAAAATTACCTAACCGAAGGATATACAACTTGAAAATCACATTTAATACCACTACAGATTAGACATGAACGGATTACGGATATTACACCAGCGGTACGTAACATCGCAGCCACATCATATGCATGTTTAAAACAGGACGTTTTCAAGCCACCCCGTGGCAAAACGATCGACAGTAAATTAACGAATCGTGCAACTTCTTCCGGCATTCCTCGATCAGCAACAGAGACATGGTGAAGCATGCAATTCTTATGCTCGACAGGTAACCCAGGATCTGTAAGATGCAATGAAGTGTGTCTGGCGGGGTAAAGCACGTCAGAAAATAACTTATCTTGAAACATATCGGACAGAGGTGGAACACAGCCACGAGAACGTCTACCCCTAGAAGCCACTTTGTCATGAGGCGTGCTTTCGTTCGTATCTTTTTATCTACTATATTGTGCACGATGACAGGCTGTTCGCCGGAAGCTGTGAAGCCAGGCTTGCGTGTCGAATACCGAATGCACAACTGCAATACGTAAGAGGCGACAATGGACGATATCGAAAAGGACATATTCACAAGCACGTACCGGTACTCCTTGGAACTGGCGATCAGGCACGAGCCGTCGACGTGGTAGCTACTGAGGTGTAGCCTCAGAGCATGGCACAGCGACGTACACACACTCAACACAATTGCCGTGCAGTACAAGTACACGACCGCCTGCTGCCTCAGGTACAGCTTGCGATAAGCCTGTAGATGCAGATTGCAGCAATAATGCAACGGGATGAGTACGAAGAGACTCAAGAAGCA